AGGTTGAATAACAGTTATCCGTTTTATCGAATTAGCCGACACCTCGCCGACGTTGTGTTATTTATGGACAATAATAGATGGCAGAACAAGTGCGTTGCCAACTGCAGGTCTTATTGCCGTGAATATAGGCTGCAAAGATCTCAGAAATGTTGGATTTGAGGTTTCAACGGCGGTGAGTCTGAAGATGGCTGTGTTCTGGTTTGTGGCGCCGTGTCGTCTGGTAGAAGTTTACCGACGTTTCAGAGGTCCTTGCTGCCTCCATCATCAGGGTAAACTCATACAAGACTACACAGTGCTACAACCCAATGTTACCTTTCATCACAAAGTTGCCGATCTTGAACAACGAAAACCGCATGGTGTCACATTACGTCTGGTCAAAGGCACTGATTAACTGATGAACTTTAAGCAATGCTATGATCAATGCTTTTATGTTTATATTGTTATGTTGGTATAACTTGCAGTGATGCAGAAATGTAGGTTACGTGCATATTATTGATCGAAATAAGTGTTGTGTGTGAAAAGCACGCTGATTGTAAATATTAGTTAATATATCGTGACGAAAAATGGAAGAAATTGAGATGTTTGAAGAGGTTCTGGATGGCGATGTTAACGGAACAGGTGAGATTTGATTTTCACATAGTGACTGATCTTTCTTCTGGGATATAGCACGTGTAGCCTGTTAATTATTGACTGACGGTTGAATGGAGGTAGTAAGTAGTTAGGTCAAATGATTCCTTCTTGTAAATTTAGCATTTTGCCAGGAACGTCGTGAGTGACAGTTTCATGGCATTTCCGTGCCACATCACATGTGGTAAAGGTGTTGATAGAACTGGTGAAACTGTAAAACAGGCAGTAGGTACAACTTGCAAAGCTGGTCAGCATGCAGTGAGTAGTGCTGAAGCATTTGTAAGTATTGTACGAGAGAGATTCCACAGCATAAGTTTTTTTTACATATATGCCCATCATGTATCACATCAGGAAGTATTAGATCAAATGTGGAATAGAATAGTTTCGGTAGCAGAAACCAAGAGCATTCATACAGTTATGTCCATTTCATTTGTTACTGCTTTATCAGCATTGATTGTTTTCAGTAAGAAAAGTCTGCATTCTTTGCTTAATATGAACTACACGTTTCAGAGTTTGCAGAAAAATGAAAACAATTATATTCCTTGTCCAAGAAAATTTAGCCTTGGTGTGCTGTGCTGGAAAATAAGTGTTGGTCAGGTGGTTGGTGTTGATGTAAAGTATTGTGAAATTACATTCCTCAGATAATGTGTCTACAGTGCCAAAATCTTAGCAGTTCCTTTGAAAGAAGATAAGTACTGGGTAGAAGAACAAATTGTAGAGAAATTAGAAGTTCCTACTATTGATAAAACAGGAAATGGCTGTTGAAAGTGCAAAAGATGGTTTTAAAGAGGCAGCTAAAGTTTCTGAAGAGATAATTAGAAAAATTGTAGGAGAGCAGGAAAAGTATAAAGTGTGAGTACTTTCATTCGGTATGCCTCTACACCAAATTTTATTAAAATCATTGGTTTTCATGTTGCATCATGCAAGAAGATGGCTGGAGAGACATGGCTAACCCTTTAAGCATTTATTTCATACACTTCATGTAAAGAATGTAATATTTCATAATGCACATTACATGTCTTCCTGCCTGCCAAAGTGATTGGGTGGGGAATTCCATATGGGAAATCCCCAGCCATTCACTTAACATCATGGTGAATCTCCCATTTTATCTCATTATGCAATTTTCCTGCCTCCTAAAAACATGATAGACATGGATGGGCCCACAAAGGATTCTTCATCCACACTAGATTGTGAAGAATTTCTAACAGGAGGGAGCTGTATCCTTGAGAAAGAAACAGAAATTCTTGAAAAGCATTACATGTTAATGGGAAAATTGGCTTTATAATAAACCTTTAGGTTTCACAAACAACAGGGAATATTTGGACTAACTGAGCAACATTTAGCCTTTCTGAAATGACCCTGCTTTATGGAGTTGGTTATCGTGTTTTCAACAGAATTGGCGGCTGAAACCTGCACCAATCACAAGTACTGTGGCTTTGAAAGAAGTAAAGGCAGGAGCGAGGAGGGGGAATGAAGCAAGGGAATTGGAACCTACAGTAGTGCCAAATGTAGCGTGGTGGAATGTGGTTTCCAGTGAATGCAAATTGTTTTCTTAAATGTATTTGCATGTAAAGTATTAGGTACACATGAATGTTGTATAGTAATTTGAAAGCGTAGCAAAACAGATCCACTCCATTCTTCTCCATCTGAGAAATAAAGTAATAACACTTTGCAAAGAATAAGTAAAAACTTGCAAAAATATAGTTTGGCTGTTGATATTTCTGTCACACAGCTTCTGAACGGACTGAGCTCTAGCCCTTGAGCTGTTCGGCCTGTCACAAAGAGCAGAACCTAACCACTCGTTCTACTATAGACATTATATAATTTTTCCACAGCTTACTTTTATTTGTGTCAATGTCACTTTTCCAGACATTTATAGTAATATTTTCAATTGCTCTTGTAGGTAGTGTCAATCAGTTTATGGACGATATAAGAAATGGCAGGTATATGGAGTTACTGACAACATCCAAATGTCAAGAAGTGTACTGCCAGTATTTAGATGGCAATTGTGACAGTGTTACCCTTGATGTATTGTTAGAGAAATCTGTGAAAATATACATGGATCACAACTGTACAACACCAAGACAGTAAGTATGAAGTCATTTTCTTCTTGCATTCAACAAATAGGAGTATCCATTTTTGTTACTCTGTTTTCATGTTTGTGGGTAATTGTTTGTGAAACAACTCAGTGAAATTGCTACAAGAAAGTAACAAGTTACTGCAGAGTTGTGAGAATTTGTAGATCACTAGAAATTTATACCAAAGGTTATATCATAGAATAATAAAGATTAATTTTTGAGCATTATTTGCACAAGGAGCATAAAATGAATGCATTGTAGGGTGCAGGGAGGTTCTGCTTATGCCAAAGATTACTCAGCAGGTGTAAGTGAAATTTGGTATTTCCTGTGCTGAAATTGATGAGATGGTTACATCAGTCTAACAAGAGTTTGAACGCAAATGGCTTAGGAAATTGTGTTGACCTAAAGAGGATGAAGTAAGTGCGCAGTTCATGTTATTATATAACGAGGAACTTCATGATTTGTGCAGGTCACTTAGTAATGTTGAGGAAGTGAAATCTGCAACGCTATGATGTAGCTTGGATGTGAGACACAAGAAATACATACAAAATTTTGGACTTGGGGAGAACTGCCATTTGTAAGATCAAGAAATGGCAATTAATCTAGGTCTTCATGAAAGGAGATTGGCTCGCTTTCATGTCCAGTCGCAAACGTGTTAGGCATGTGTAACCTTCAGGTTCTACTAGTAGAGAATAATTCAGTCTGCTATAACACTGGCTTACTTGAAGCTGAAATTAAATTTTATCAGGTTTCTTAAAAATGGTTCATTGTACAGAAATTTAGTGCATATTGATGATGAAGATCTCATTAACTATAACTGTTATTTTTTATGTTTGAGGATGTAATTAACCTTTCAGTGCCAGCCATTATATCTTTTTTAACTCTTGGAGTTGTATCTCCAGTTTGCTTTGCAAGGAACTTCTTCCAAAATAATACTATCCCACTTAACTTGGAACCTGCCATGGCAACATACTGCCAGGAAATGAGTTATTCGCAACACAGAACGTAACTATCAGAAGTTAATAGGTGGGTTACAATTTATGTCTGACTCTGTGTATTGGTAACTCCAAAACACTTAATAAAAATTAATGCTCCGACTATGGTATTCTGGTTTTTACGCTTATCACTCTTTTGAAGAATTCTGTCTTCTGGGTTGTTGCGCTGTGTAGTCTGGTCGATGTTAACCAACGTTTTAGAGGTCATACTGCCTCCGTCATCAGGGCGATGAATATGGTTCATCGCCCTGATGACGGAGGCAGTATGACCTCTAAAACGTTGGTTAACATCGACCAGACTACACAGCGCAACAACCCAGAAGACAGAATTCTTCAAAAGAGTGATAAGCGTAAAAACCAGAATACCATAGTCGGAGCATTAATTTTTATTAAGTGTTTTGGAGTTACCAATACACAGAGTCAGACATAAATTGTAACCCACCTATTAACTTCTGATAGTTACGTTCTGTGTTGCGAATAACTCATTTCCTGGCAGTATGTTGCCATGGCAGGTCACTCTTTTGTTTGACAGGCAGTTGGAAGTTCTTTGTATGGGTATAGCCAGTCTCTATGCATTTGTACAGAGCAATTGGACAGGTCCACCACTGGAAAATTACCAGTATCCAGCCTGCGACGACTGTATTGTACCATGGTTACAGTCTTGGTATAAAGGTAGCATCATGAGCGAGAAACAGTTACAAGATGAGGTAACAGCTTGCCTGGTTCTTGATGGAGAAATCTGCTGTCCTGTCATGAGTCATCCAGAACTGTTGCTGTTAGCACGTGTCTGTCTACAAGTTTGCTGTGATAGGCCGCAGCCTCTGCTAGTTAGTACATGGATATTTACATTTGAAGATTAAATTATTAGGAATCTGATAGAATGTGTCCATTGATTTTATATGAATATTTCAGGAGCTTATTCATGAGGTCATTCTGAGTCAGAGAAGTCATATGAATACAGGTCTAATTCTCAATGGTTATGTATTTGTGGATATTTGAAATTCAAAATGATTTGAACCTTATGTAGAACATCAGGGTCAGTCAAGCATCTTATACAAAACAGAAACACGTTTACAGGTTTTCGTCCAGTGTGATGGGGCACCCTCACATTTCAGTTGGAACAAGATGGATTACCTGAATGAATAGTTCCGTGACCAATGGATTGGTCATGGTTATCCACCAGAACTAACTCCCCTAGATATCCATTAAAAACATTGTTTATGGGTGCAGAATGAGCAGAAGAGAGGAACTACATAATTGAATTTCTAATTTGTGCAAGTTGCATGAATCTTGAATTTCAAATATGCATAATATGAACATTAATTTATATATTTTGAAAACGTCATTAGTAACACCTTTTCAAGTAATATGACAGCATTACCAACTGTACAGGTCATTCTTTTATATAAATTCTCATCATTTGTGTATTTGCAGGAATACCATATTACCCTTGGGAATCTTTCACATGCTTCTGGCATCCGTCTTCTGTCACACTAAAGAAACAATATAATTGTGTTATTATTGCTGTGCACACAAGTAATACCTCTCTACTGTGATACACTTTTGTCAGAAATATAATGTTGCAAATTTTTGTTTTATGAAATTTCACAACCATTCAATGCTATAGATGTCCTTTAAGACATTAATATAGTATAATTTGATATAATCAATTTCATGGTCGTTTGTTTAAACTGTGCTGTAATGGTGTGACTTCTGGCTCAATTATACTGGGTCACAGTATTTTGAGAGTATAACTATGGCCAAACTACGTGGCGCGTGAACGACGTACGGGCGGGTCGTAATTTGTGGAAGTCTAGGCTGTCCCTTACTGAAAACATTTATCTTAGGTTTCAGTTCTGAATTGCAGTCAAGTACATTTTCAATTACTAGTGGAATTGATATAAATTTCCTAGAATTGTGATGTCACGCACACACCAAGTTGTAGGGGGAGTCAGACTGTGAAAACTGAAGTACACAAAGAATGTTTTTGTTTGTTCTCAGGGCAGCAAGTGGTGGCTCCTGCGATGCTTGTTTGTTCACCAACAAGTCCTGGATGAGTTTTCCCCTACCCTACACAAGGGCATTACAGCACTTTTGGAAGAACTGGTGAAATGCGAAGCTCTGATGGCCAAAGAGCACAACCACATCTGCTTCCATTTGGAGGCTGCGCAGATCCATCTCTTTTACAGGCACGTCGTGAAGTCGCAAGAGCACTGTAAGGTGGCACTGAAGGCAGCTAACATGAACTTAGAGCTTACTGGTAAGTTGAGAAGTGTCATGATGTAGGTGAGGCAGAAGGGTAGTAAGAGTGATTTATTCTTAGCTGCTTGAATTGAAACACCAAGAGAATGAATTCCAAAAGTTTGGAAATTTCATTGGGAAATTGAATCTTGTCCAGGTACCAGCTATGTTGACCGAGGTGATTGTGATTTTGTTAGTCCCTGCAGGAAGATTCGTGAATAGTACCTCTGATAGCTGAAAACCATTGCTACATTCTCGCGTTATCAGCTTATGATTTCTCATTCAGAACTACATAACCTAAGTAGTTAAGTTGGTTAACATTGACCAGGCTACACAGCGCAACAACCCAGAAGACAGAAATCTTCATAAGCTTTACATGTTTTCTGCAGGAAGCTGTCTTATGCATCACTGCAGATTTCAAAGAAGTAGTAGCAATTTTGTGAGAGTGGCAGCCTTGAATTGTTTTTGTATTGACCAACATGTTATAATTTATCATTGCATTGCAACCAAGCCTCGCCACTATTCTGTCTTCCCACAGCTCCTCACTTTTTGCCCATGTTCTTCCTTCATAAGCTGTTCTCTTGATCTGTCTCCCTCTTGGGTATTCTTTGTTTTACTTCCTTGTTTTGGCACCATCTTCATTAATTGTTGAAATATTTCCATGTCATCTTATTCTGTTGTCTTTTTGATTTGCCTTCCATGGTGTTCATTTATAAATTCTCTAATTTTCTCATTGCTAATTCTCTTGCTCTTTTTGTGTTCTCTGCTTCTCTGAAAATACCTCTGCTGCTATTAATACAGATTCCATTTTCCGTGAATCTTGGGCGAAAGCTAATCAGAAGAACACCGTGAAACAGGATGGGGTGCGTGAGATGGGCTGACTCATCTCATGGTACAGAGCCAAAATCACAAGTGTCGCCAAGTATATTGTACCGCTGATTAAGGCCATTCAGGTCAGACCCACGATGACTAAACAGTAAAACATGACAGCACTGCTCTGAATTTCCCACAATACAAATGTCTCTTAATGCTGTCCCCACCCTGCTGTTGTGATTGGCTGTTGAATGCCTCAGCAAATGTTAAGCTTTGGTGTGCTAACATCAGCTTCATACTTTACTATGGATGAAAAGTAGCTTTTACGTGGGCATGTTTTACCCACTGTGAGGCATTTCCAGAGTTATGGTGTTCATAACGTATAAGTTCTTCAATATTTCCTTTTGTCACTGTTTGACTTCGAAAGTTTTCTAAATTCTCATCTTATGATTACAACATTTTTGTCTTTTTGATGCCCCCCTGTCTTATTTTTATAATTATACATTTGCCTGAATTGATATTTAGTTCAAAATTTTTGCACAGTGCAGTGACCCTTTGTAATTTATTGTCTAAGACACAGACCATAACAGAGAAATACTGAATCGTTCAGCAAGGTTCGACATCAGATCCATCAATTTGGGAAGTAACACTCATCGCCATGATGAAGAAGGTAGTACGCGCCTCTGAAACATTAGTCAGCTTTCACAATATCCCAGAGGACTGCTGCCTTTGTGCTTGCTTGTGAGAACCTGAAATCTCACCAAGTAACAATTATTTTAATTTCCTTTAGGTGCACTTGGTAAGAGGACGCACTTCCAAATGAGGGAGCTGGCCCAACTCACTCTGAGAGTGTCTGTAGATGAAAGCAGCAGGCCTGTTCATTTCCCCATTGCTCAGTCAGAACACTTGCCAAAGGTAACATGTTTCAGTCTAATTATTTTTAGCAATATTCAAAATGCTCTTGTTCTTGAGTGCAAGTTTAAGTTTTAAAATGGTTACTGTTACTTGTTTACATTAAAAATCTTCACTCTGGCTGAACAGACGTCCATAAAATTTAGTATTTTACAGTCCTTTTTAATACATTGTCTAATTTCAGTTTTGTGTTGGGAAATTTATATTTGCATTTTACATATAATTCCAAATTTGGATATGTCTTGTGGCTGCATAAATTATAAGTGTTGAATTTTATTGACGTCAAGAGTTCGTTAGTCAGATTGAGAAATGGTGCTTGCAGGTAATGTTGACCAATCAGTGCTGTCACCAGAAAGTCAAATACACTTACAATGTTTGCAGACTGAGAACTGCTTAGGCAGCGGATTGTAATGCTAAGAATGAAAAAAAGTGTTACACACAGTGACACCTCATATTTTTGTTCCTAGATCGTACTTATTTTCCTGCCATTTTTAGCAATATTTTTTTTCTGTGTGTAATTAGTGGTTATATTTAAATTACCCTGGTTTTATGATCTTTTTCTTTGTAGCAGTTGGCTACTGCTATGAGTCAGTCACCATCTTTCAAACATCATTTTAGCTTTCTGTGTGTGATTGCTTTCAAGTGAAGTGTTATGATTTTATCTGCTGGCTTCGTCTGCTGCGAGCACTGCAGTTTTGTTTGAAATTGCATGTCTTTGTGGCATGATGGCAACACTGAAGGAAAGAAAAACCATTTCCTTGTAACACTAAATGAACTTATCACAGTTATTTTGCACTACTTTGATATTATAATGAATTGTTTCAGGATTTGAGACTTAATAATGAAGTAAGATTGGATAAGATCAAATTCTCAAATGAAACGGATGGTGAATTTCCAACCCTGCATCCCCTGGAGCAAGCTGTTGTCCTGGGAATTTTGTAAGCACATGTCCGAACAGAAGTTTTGAAAGTTTAAATGGCATCATGCAGACAAGTAGCGCTGTTGTATTGCGAGTGTGTCCACTTTCAAGCTGCTACTACTACTACTATGGCGTAACAGCCCAAAATCGAGCCCTAGCCTCCTCACTTTCAAGCACCCACATTTTTAAATTGATAAATGTTTTCCTCAGAAAAGTTAGTTTGGACCAGAGAAACATGAATTAACAGTTCTCAAGTAAGTGGTGTAGCTAGCAAAACAAACTGGGTGTCATCTGGGGTCAGCATTTTTATGATTCTAATTGCCAACATTTTTGTGTCACCTCCCATGAAGGGCTGTGAGGACTGTTTTTGTTTTTGCAGTGTGCAAACCCTGAAGTCTCAACCCAAAGACAAACTGGCAGATGAAGAATTGATGCCGTACTTAATGGTAAGAGACAATTGAGTTTATTTCCGAGGTTATAAATCTGAAATGTTAACGTTGATGTTTCAATTGATTCATTGACTCTCAGGGTATTTAATAACACTGCTTTATCTGAAGAAGATAGAATTATTATTGTCTGTCTCCATGCAACAAATAGATATTACAAGCTCTAGCATTCAATTACATGTCTAAGTATTTAATTTTTTTACTAAGCGATCTGTTTCGGACGTACGGTCCGTCATCGGGCGTCAGGTAATTGTCTGCGCGACTATGTTGTGCCTTGATTGTGGTATAGTAGCGTAAAACATGTGTCTGAAACCTTGTGAAAACGTAACATTTTTATCTTTGTTATGCAGTACCGCACATAAGTCGTGTCCTATTGACTGGCTGAATTCAAATTATGGTTAATAGTGTGCGACATGAGTGTATGTTAAAATAAGTTAATATAAAAATATGAACAGTTAAAACTTCATCATTTGTATATTCTACCATATTAAGATCATGGTTAAGAATTGTATCACATTATGAATCGTTGAAGCGCGTCACTGTGTCGTAATACAACACAGCACCACATATCATAAAATACTTTGACGTCAACAACAGTAACATATGATTACATGTTACTTCCTTCTGATTAAGCTGTTTGATATTTGAAAGTCCTTAAATTACGTCTTGTTTTCACTGGCGGTCTCAGGCAGCCAGCAAACAGGAGTTTGGTCGCAAGGCTGAAGATGGCACATGACCTTAGGCTTGGTGGTTTGTTGTGGGCGCCTAAAGTTTAAAAAAATATTACAGGAATTTTTTTTGACTAGCCAAGCAACTAGTCCCTTCTCAAGAAGGACTCTCCTCCACGGGGTTAGTTTCCACTACCAACTTGAATGTTTGAATAGCCTTTTTTAAGTGGAGTTGTTATGATTAATTGATTAACATGAAAATACTGGGACACTCACAGGGTTTTGCTGTATTTGTATCTCCTCCCAAGCGTCTACATGGCATGTAGCAGGACAGATTCTTTATTTATTGTGAAAGTTACTGATAGTGGTATTTTACAGTTAGTATGATTTTTTTTTCTTTGTGCGTTGTCCTGTGTCTACGAATAGAACATTACGTTTCAGGAGCTGGGTCTTTTCATGCCTTCATTGCCTACTTAGTTGGGCCCATTAGAGAGTCCTAATGCCAATCCAGTCAGAGGGATTAGTTCTCTAATACGAGGCGCGTCCCAAAAGTAAGTTTCCCACTCGTCCCACAGCTAGCAAACCTTATATTGAGCGAAGCGACTGTGCGTACGTGATAGAGCAATGACGTAGCATGGCGCATGCACTAACGGTACTTCCCGCGTTCTCACAGTAGCATCGTTGCAGCTGTTGAAGATGGAGATTCTTATTCCAGCTCCCGCCGACTGTGAAGTGCGGTCAGTGATAAAGTTTTTGAATGCACAGAGCATAGCGCCGATCGAAATTCATCGTCAGCTGTGCCGGGTCTATGGGCCTAACGTCATGAGCAAGCAGATGGTGCGTCGCTGGTGCAGACAATTTTCAGCAGGTCGACAAAGTGTGCATGATGAGAAGCGCAGTGGGAGGCCATCCATCATTACAGACGACCTTGTGGAGCTTGTGCGGGAACGCATTATGGATAATCGTCGCTTCACAATTACGGAACTCAGCAGTCATTTCCCGCGGTGGCGAATATGTTGAAAAATAGCTGGACACTTGCTGTATCTGTTGCAATAAATATTTCCATGAAATTGTGTTTTGTTTCTGTAAACGGCCTCAGGGAAACTTACTTTTGGGACGCGCCTCGTAGAAAGCTGTGAAATTATGCCATTTTAGAATTTTATTGTCATTAGCAATACGAATCTTTCCATCCGCATTGTATAAAGGTACAAAAAGGCAACAGACAGGTGACGTATTTTGTCTCAGTGCACTTTTTGTGATGTGTAAATGTTGATATGTGAGGTTAGTGTCTATTACAGAATGCGAATTAGTTTGAGGATGAAGATGGCTGTTTTCTGGGTTGTCATGCTGTGTAGTCTGGTAGAAGTTTACCAACATTTATTTATGCTCACTGCTGTGACAACCTCAAATCCTACTTGGTTCTCAGATGCCCAAATAGACTGGTTTAGTAAAATTGTGTCGAAGAGCTCTCTCATTTAAAACCAACGAGATAACTCAAATGAACATATCACATGTAGTAGTTACAGTGGCAGTATATGGGGTTAAAACCGCTTGTCTCCCTAACATATATATGTCCGTACTCTTTTTGTATGTGCCTCGTGCTAATTCCAAATGTGTTCAGCAACAAAATAATAGTCTATTGTGGTGTGTGTATGTAATGTCACTAGTAATGTTGATTGTACCAAGAAATAAACAGAAATATTTTAATATGGCTCAGACTGAAGTGGGAAGCGCCTGCCTTCAGAATGTACACACAGGAAAGATTTAATCTCTTCATGAAGACTCTTGACATTAACATCACAGATATGGCGGGCATCATTACTTCTCTAATTAGTGAAGCACTGCATATAGCAGTGGTGCTAATGCCTAAAAATGCATGAATTAAATTATGATTAAAACAGATTTTGAGAGTATATTAGAAGTTCTATATACATTGTAAACACAAGAACTTATAGCTTACATAAAGATAAAAACAGCCTCCTATTTCTTTGAGCCTTGAACTCTGTGCGAGACCACCTTGGCACTTTTATTTTTTGGGCTGCGACTGATTGATACGTATGTCGCATAAACTGTTGGTCATTTTTAAGTGATTAATGTCTTTTACAGTGTCTCTTGTCTCACCCCGTTCTGTGGAGTTTGCAGATGTCAGCTCTGCTCCAACGTTGCCGTCTTGAAGGCCACAATTCTCGCACTGTAGAGAGAGCCATGATGCAAACGGAGGTAGGTGGTTATGTTTTCTACTTGTTCTTTATTTATTTTACAGTCAGATGGGTGTAACCTTCCGTCCATCTTTTAAGTTCTCGCTAGGTTATTGGGTACGGACTGAAGTATGTTTAATGGCTTCTGGAACTTGTGTAATCTGATTAGGCTCTTGACACTGAGTCATAGTGGAATGGCCGTTAACATTGGTGGTAGAAGCGTAAAGCAGTAATACATACAGAGCTGGACTGATTTTAGCAATTTCAGTTTGCTTAGTAATTAATGTGCAGTGTTACAGAATGCCAAGTAGTTTAAGTCAGGTAACATTTTATGTTTTCTTTTTCAACAGTCTGTTGTAATTTAAGAAGTTATAAGTATTAAATTATTCTTAGTTTATTTGAGAGCACTTTTCGACGAGTTAGAACTCACGAAAGATTACTGGCGTTGTAAAAGAACTATTAAAATGAGCAAGTGTACAATGCATACTCATGTATGTACTGACTAACAAGAGCATATGCATTGTGATGTAAGAGTACGCATGCTAGCAGTGGTCACAAACACAAACAGCAGTTCTTTTGCCACTCTTATCCAATCTTGTGTTGTAGGCTGTTCATATTCTTCACTGCAACTGCCTAGTTTGTCTAGTAGTTGAACTGGTGGTGCAGACCAGCCGTAATTACGGACTCTTACTGTGGTTTCCATTATAGTCTGTTTATTGCAGGAGTTAGTGCAGTGCTTCACTAAAAGGAATCCGCATGCCGGACTGAGACATCATTACATTTTTTGTTCACATCTACCACCTCACTGGAAGGTTGAAACTGAACTGGCAGATCTGTTAGTTTCCCTTGGGGTTGTGAAGAGTGCTTTGGACATCTTCCTACGACTTCAACTCTGGGAAAAAGTTATCATGTGCTACAACCTGTTGAACCTTAGGCATAAGGTAAAACAGAACAGACATTTCTGTCAGAGGCTGTGTAAAGTTCTTTGTATTATCTTTTAAAGAATTTATATGTCTTTGCTTGAGAAATTTTGCAGTTACCAAGTTTTTTGTGAGGTGTTAGATCTGATGGAGTCTCATGTGTGTATTTCAGGCTGCAGAAATAATACAGAAAGAACTACACAAGAAGGAGACCGTGACATTGTGGTGCTTGATGGGAGATGCTACAGATGATCCGCTGTGCTATGAGAAGGCGTGGGAGTTGTCAGGCCACAAGAGTGGGCGCGCTCAGCGGCACTGGGCATTGTACTACTTTAACAAGAAGAAGGTAGCTCATATTCTCGCTTATGTTTGCATTTATCTACGAAGTACTGGCTATTGAAATGCATCTCAAACGAAGTACGTACTGTGTTATTCCAAGTAAGGCATCTCTTATATGATTGTAGCCAGGAAGGACTGCTTCCGTTTTCTCTTTGCTGTTCCTTTGTAAGTAGGCAACATAAAAGAAGCTTATTTTGAAATGGTCACAGACAACTGTTTTGGAACAGATAATGAATGTGTTCTCCTTATTCAGCAAACTCGGAGACGAGAAATTAGTTTGGGACCAGTTTTGAATTTAAACTCTAATACTTAAACAGCGCCTGTAACAGAACATATGACCTGGTCTCTGACAAAATAATGATGGTGATGAATCACACTGCGTCGTGAAATGCACAGAATATTTTTTACAGAATGCATCACTTCCTCCCATTTAATGGATTATTTGTGTTTCAGTATGCTGAAAGCATTCCTCACCTTCAGGAGTCGCTTGCCATCAATAGTCTGCAGCTTTCTCTCTGGTATTTCCTGGGGTTTGCTGCTCTGGTCCAAGAGAATTGGTCCCTCTGTGCCACAGCTTATCAGCGATATTGTGCACTTGATCCTGAGGTATAATTCTTATCCTTAATTCAACTTTAGCCGAAAAACTACCAGGTTGTCCCACCTACCTCTGCGTTCTCGAATAATTCTTTAATTTTAACATATGCCAAAAAAATTCAAATAAAATGTTTGCAGTGTCTTATGGGGAAAATATTGATAAATAAAATGCAAACTCACAAAATCCACATGAGTGTTGAAGTTTGTTTTGTGTAGTTCCAGATGAAGTGGCGGAGTGCCTCCCTCTACATATTTGCATGTTCTCGGACATGAAGACTCGGATGGTACTGCTTAGTTGCATTAGTTTCGTGGCTGGTGAAAAAGTTTATTAACCCTTAGACTCTACCACACTGTGTGAAGTTAAATGAAATGTCAGAGAAACATTTTTGGGGCGCGTTATGTTTAACTTTCCAGTTGAAGCAGTTGAATCGTGATCATGTTTCAGAGTTTTGAAGCCTGGAACAACCTGTCTAAAGCATATTCGAAGATGGACCAAAAGTTCCGAGCATGGATGGCACTGCAGGAATCTCTCAAGTGGAACTATGAGAACTGGCATATTTGGGAAAATTACATATTTGCGAGCACTAGCATCGGCAAGTTCCACGAGGTACGTCATCTTCGAAGTTCGCCATAAGATTTATCGGCTGTTCAGGCTGTAAGTCAGAAGAAGTGCCTGAACTATTTTAAGTTCTTAGTCCAGCATCATTCTGCGGTGTCACCACAAACACCTTCAGATATCTGGCTTTTTTGGCTGAGATATGGATTTGGTATTTTCTGCGTAAAAGCACGAGTGCCAGTCACCACACTTTGGCATCAGTAACATATGATTCTTTGTAGAAGTAAAAAATTGTCTGACACTACATCAGTTTCGATGGTCAACTGATTTTTATTTTATTTTTTTTTATTTATAAGTATCTTGATTTATTATATTGCTGTTTCTCCTTCCTCTTCCTCCTCCTTAAGTTATTTTGCATAGGAGTCTTGCATTTTATCTACTGTCCTCCAGTGTCCTCGCCTCTCTGTATCTCACTTAACTTTGTCTGTCCATCTTGTTCTTCTTCCACTCATCGTCATATCCAATATTTCTTGTATTCTATTCACACCCACTCATTTAACATGTTTGGACCATCTCAGTCCTCTGTTTCCTCCATCTTGAGCTGTCACCCAACACACATTTCTAATCTGATCTCTCCTAGTTTTTTCCGCTATTGTTCTCAGGAATTTCATTTCAACTGCTTGCAATTTACATTCCACTCTCATAGTACACGTCCATGGCTCAGTTCAAGATTTGTAGTGTCTTTTTAAAATACATGTGTATTGTACGTTTACATTTTCTGTTTACGTCTTTATTCAGTACAGTGGATTCCTCTTCTGTAGTTCTCCAAGGGACCATGCAATACGAACTTCTTAAGCTGGAAAACATCTTAAAAGTGCAGTCTTAGGCATATCCTTTGTATAAAACTGTGTCCTGGGACCCACCCAGCCTCTTGTCCATTGTGTACCAGGGTCCTTTCCCAGGGGTAAAGTGGGGCTGCTGTGTGACGCTGACTGCTTTCCCCTGTCTAGTGCTGAGGTTCAGAATGAATAGGAGCTATACCTCCTTTCCTTCTAAACGCCTACATGCCGTGGAGCAGGACAGCTTTTCTTTTTCTTTCTTTCTTTCTTTTTTCCTCCCATCTTCAATGCTCCTAAAGAAAATTTTTTTGTTGCCACATACGATTTAGATTAATTTTCACTGGAAGGAAATCTGAAGTATCTTCGCAGAATTGCTTCCCTTCGGCAGGCCAAAACTGATCTTCCGCCACTCTAAATATATACAGTCGCTTATCAAGGAATTTAATGATAATCACAATCAAAGTCTACTGTTTATCAGTCATCTTAGGTGCTTATTTACATTGTAACTTTACTTTAGGTTTGCGTTTTAATTAGCCTAACTAGTTAAAGGGGTATTCCAATTTTAATAATAATAATGTTGTACAGCACTCCTATCCCATTGTAGGGGCCCTTTCCTATTTTTTCTCCAGGATAAGACGAATGCAAAATATCTGATAGTGTTTGATCTGTTATGTTGGATGTTGTATATAATGTAGGGAGATTTTTTTGCTTTTAAAATTCATAAATTTAGTCATTTATCATCCTTTCCTGAGGGAGGCTTTTTACAGGAATCACAATATAATCTTTCTAGATTTCCAGATGTCTTCCTGAGCTGCTTCCTCATCTGGCTAAATTGAGGGTGGGGCGTTTTCCTGTTACCTCGTTCCTTCAACATATTCATTTGTTCTGATTTTGTCTGTTGTCATTCCAAATTGAGAACAATACAAACAACGAAACTGTTTGTTAATGGATGTTCACCATATTCTTTATAATTTCAGGATCATGTCGTTTGGTCAATTTCTGTCATGCTCTTCCTCAGGTGATACAGGCTTACAACAGGGTCCTGGACCTAAAAGAGAAGCATGTTGACACGCTGGTGCTGGAAATACTAGTAGATGGTGTCTGCAGCTCAGAAGCTCAAGGGGACTTGAAAAAGAAGGCTGAGCAGTTGTTCACTCGACTTACACAACAGGTAAGTTTATTGTCATAGAAAAAATATTTGAGGTAAAGATTGCGCCCTCTTCTTTCTAGCTGTGATAACGCTGTGAAAGTAATGTGATTTGGAAAGAACTTGAACATACCAGCTAGAGGAATGGCCCATTGCAAACAGTCGACAGATATATATCAGTATGTGTCGTGCGTAAGTTATATCTTGTCTGAGAGTAAGTTGCAACCCATCCCTTACTCTTAGGTTGAATACAACGCATAGCGAAGTCATATAGTCCAGCGGTTTGCAATCTGCAACCCATAGATGTGTTTTGTGTAAAAGTTTATAATTTATTCAACACATGTTGTGGATCAAGAAATTTGTGTTAAAAATCTAATGATTCTGGCCAAATAAGTAAAAACGTTCTTAAATATCTTGATGAACAGGTTAAAACTTTGGCCTGTTTAATTAGTTATGTAGAGTGAAAACTGAACAGAATTTAAAAAATAAAGAAATAAGATATAATTTCACAGTAAATTTTAAATAATATACAGAGTGTGACAATTAAGTTCCTGAAATGCATTCGTATTTGTCGCATCTAGTAGTGAGTAAGCGACATGTTATGAAATGTCTGTCTGTGGTTGTTTCTTGTGTGTCGGTGAAGCAAATGAGGCAGTTGTAGCGAAGCAGTGGCAGAGTTACGCAAGTGTTTGTTTTTGTCCCGACAGAAAATTGAGTGATAGGTTGTAGGAGCAACGTATTAACACAAAGTTTTTGTTCAAAGTTACACAAAAGCACAAGAGAAACTCTGCAGATGTTAACATAGGCTTATGGTGTTGACGCTGTGAAAAAGTTGAGCAGCATAAAAAGTTTAAAGAGGTTCAGGAAGGCACATATGTTAGGAGCTCAAGTGAAGATTGTGCCCCCCCAACCCACATGGGCATTGTTCACTTCATTTTTTTTTTAATAATGTTGAACAGTCAACCAGCACATTATTATTTGGAAATATTGGCAGGGTTACGTGAGGTTTTTCTTCAGAGAAGACTGATGCGTCTTATGGCTATTCCCAAAACTAAAATAACACTGAAGGGCCACAGATTTTCAGAAATTGCCAACATTCAGGGAAATGTGATGGCCATCCTGAAGAGCATTCTAGAAGATAAATTCCAGAAATGTTTTGAACAGCAGAAACACTGACTCACTACTAATATAGGTAGCCCTCGATTTACGCCAAGGATGCTTTCCTGGATGAACCGGCATAAATTGAAACTCTTTTATAATGTAAATCAATGTGAAGTCAATGACATGCGTTCCCAGCACCCAAACATTGACGAGTAATATAATGGCATTACATTTAAAGCCCTGAAATAACGTAAATAAAATAAAGGGAATTTAAAAAATATATTTTATGCACTTACAATCGGCAATTTGTTGGTCCCCGCGATTGACTGCGATTCTTTCATGTGATGGATGTGTACAATCATCTCTGCTGTTATGCGATAGTTGCATTCATGTAAGACGCCGACCTATAGAAAGTCGCGTAGTAAAAATAACCCCAGTACCTCCGCAGAGTTTAAATTAATCCTTTGAAAGTTTAAAGCGAAAGGAATGAAATTGCATAATAGCAAACTCGCATATGCAAAAGTTTGCATTTCACAAAGAACTTTTACTGATTCATCGATCTCATTGGAGCAAATTCACGTTAACGAAACATACGCAATTGCAGAGATGACTGTATTTATAATTTTTATTCAAAATGAGCAATGTCAGAATTACGATTTAGTATACGAATCAGTACGAGAAACATTGTAAAACGTTATAAATAATAGTATTTTTTTTTTATTATTATTATTTACTTTTTGACTTGCTGGTTTCAAAATCGGCGTTATTCTGAATCGGCACAAATCGAGGGCTACCTGTACTTTGAAGGTGACAGCACCTGTTCCTGGATATTGTACAGATATCTGGGCTCTGGCTCAGTGGGATTATGATGATAGGATGACAGGTCATGATGAATAGCACACGTGGACATCCTTGCCCACTATGTACTCCCTGAACCGTGGTTGACTTTACTTAATTGTGAATTATATTTCAGGTGAGGAATAATGTAAAGTTGTGGCAGCTGTTTGCGAAGCTGACGCTGACTAACATTGACAATGAAACGTATGATGAACTGGAGAAAGTCGTGTCTTACCTGCACAAAGCATTCTGGAGTGCCATCCAGGACTCAGGCTTTGAGAAGGATATCAAGGATACTTTGGGCACCATGCAGATAACTTCTCAGTTGATTGATGGTGAGTCTTCTAAATTCACTTCAGTTCAGCCATCTAAAACCAAAATGCGTTAGCTTTTACTAAACAGAAGAAATCGTCTTTCGAGAATGTGCGTAGAGATTTCCACGTGCATTCATCAGTGTCGTTGAATTTTAGGGCCACTGTGTGCTGCAGTTCTGTAACAACGTTGCTTTCTTTCCACAGCCACGTTACTGTGCTGCAGTAAGTGCCCAAGACCAGAGAAGACGGCGCAGATGCTGGCCTCAGCAAAGCTCTGTCTTCAGACCCTTATAGCAAGAATCAAGGTACTTACTAAGCTGCCTTATTTTCATACATGTAGAGGGACTTAGCCGGTCGTAGTGGCCGCGTGGTCTGAGGCGTTATCCTCGTGCGCCTGGCCGCTGCAACGGGGGTGTGAGTCCCACTAAGGCATGGATGTTTGTCCGTCCTCCTCTTCCAGTCTGGTGGGTTAAGACTGGCCACAGAAGGCAAGGCGAAACCACCGTGGTACTTTCACATGAGAGCCACGACGGTCAGGCTACGACCATAGACGATTAAAAAAAAGGGACTTAATCTCTAATATTTAATGCTTGAGTTCAGTTAAACATGTTTTACATACCTATTGAACATTTGCTTTCATGTGACTAATCGTGTTATGTAAGGACAGACAGACTTATGGTGCCATCATGTCCATGATCTAATAACTTATGAACCATTTTATACGGGATTTGAGGTTTTCACGGTGGTGAGTCTGAAAATTGCTGTCTTCTGGGTTGTTGCGCCATGTAGTACGGTAGATGTCCACCAACGTTTCAGAGGTCAATGCTGCCTCCATCATCAGGGCGATGATCGTGCAGAAGACAGCAATCTTAAGCCATTTTATAGATTTTAATGAAACGTTATATGAATATCCTACCAATAGAGATCATATTTGTATGTTTTAACTTCATTGTCATCATTATCACTTCAGGGTCTTGTAGTATTTCCTGTTCTGGCTTCAGCCTCCCATAACAAGATGTCAACCCAAATACCTTCTTCCCTTTGGTATTCTTCCAGAGCTGATTGTCTGAGGATGTTCTACCTGTTAGATTTTGGAACCTTTTGTTTTCTCTTCTATTGACAGTATATTTTAATTCCTCTTTTATCTCGACGTCCTTGACTGACTGTGAAAGCTTCATTCTTCCACCACGATCCTTATTATCATCCTCCTTTGTCACTGCCCATTCTTCACAGTCGTACAGTGGCACCAGAACTGCCACAGGTTTTTAGAACTACTTATTTTCTTTTTATTTCCTGTCATTACTAATATCAACGTGACCATGTGAGTAGATCTTCACGAAATATGTTAGTAATCCTTTCTATATGTTGAAAATTACAAAAATGTAAGCAGATTATAACTTGAAGTTGTATTTGGCAAATTTAGGTGTTTATGAATGTAAATTACGTGCAGAAGGGGATCGCTAAATTATGTATTCATTAATTTATAATTCTTCAAAGTCTTAGCATATAGATTGAAGCGTCTGGAATAAAGTGTATCAGTTTAACCACATAAATGGAAAATATGATATATCCACACCCACTGTTCATAATTAATCTGACAAACTGTGTAATGTCTGCTGTTGATACAGCATCATTAAATAATCAAGAAGATCGATTAATATCCAGTCCAGTGCAAAGAGAGACAGAATTTATTCTTCTTCTTTGATATTTTCTGCGAAAGTGAACAAACATCTTTTTTCTTAAACATTGTCGTTAGCTAATTAGCTCAACCGGTAAATACGTGATGTGTACCAGCTGGCACCTTAGGAGATGTACATTTGTAGGAAACACTTTTAACAAAACTTACAGAAGTTGATGCATAATATGCAGTGATGGCAAATTTGCCATGATTTGATTTTTATTACATGAAATACTGGAAGGATACTGTCATAGGTTGGCAAACATGAGAAAATAAAACAGTAATAATATAAATATCTTAAATGTTACAACATTTAGCTGAAACAGTTGAATTGATGATATCAGCGCACGTTTATCGAAGACTGTAGGTTAGGTTATGACATCACAGATAATATTATCTTTCCACCTCACTAGTTCAAGCATCTGTCACATTATCGGAATTTAAAATGTATGACTTTTGAGTACTCGTCAATGGCATGTGCATTCCAAATTTAACGAAAATTGGTCTAGCCATTGTGAAGTTGTTATATGCATATGGACGATGTCATCGTCATGTTGGTATTACTGACTGCAGAAAATTGAAAAGCATGAGTTTGTTATAGTGCAACATAGTTTAAACAGGAAATTGAAAACTTTTAACAAACCAGCTGTTTGGATGGGATTGTTTTAGTAGTATTCTGGGAATAAATGCAGTTTCATTTTGCGTAGTCTGCTAAAATTGTGGCTCCTTTAACGTAATGTCTTGTCACATCACATAATTTGGGGTGCAGTCTCCTCCCAAAAAAGAATAACTTTGGTATTAGAACATCTTTAGTTCTTCACTGGGACTCAGACCCAGAACAGTTTTTTATATCTGAGCTACAGAAACCATCTTTATCAGGTCTCTGACCCAGGACAGATTTTTAGAGTTCTTCTTGCAATCTCGTCACCAAAATAACTTCAGTCATGTCACCTTTCTTCTGTCGTACTTAGTTCCCAGGCTGCAGAAGCCACCCTCCCCAGGACTTGAACCCAGGACACCCACCGTTCTAAAATCTCCTGTTTCCTAGGCATATGCATGCCAAGTTTGTTGTAAATTGGTTTATCCATAAATGAGCTATAAGAAAAAACATACATATATACCCACAATTTAACGTTTCAGAGGTCCGTGCTCATTGTTCTGATGATAGAGGCAGCAAGTACCAGGCTACATGTTGCTGCAACCCATAAACAGCCATCTTCAGATCATTCTAGTTCATGCCCTCATATCCTAAAGGTCAATTTCTGTATCACTGAGGAGTTTCATGATTTTTCTCAGTCTCTTTAGATTACTGCCAGGATAGTGCACTTCAAATGGGGCCGTGACCAGTTCCTTCCACATCCTTTCCAATTCATCATTCACTATCATCCTGTGATTCAGTAAAAACAGTCTGAGATACTGAAAACTTCACTACGTAAATGAAAAAATAAATAATTTTTATGTCCTGACCACGTCTCGCTAGTGGTCTCTTCTCGTAAAGCATTATGGTCAAAATATTATATACATTTCTCGTCTCCCTCATTTGAACTGTTAATGCTTACTTTGCCTCAATTTTGCAGCGATTTTATCCCAGTCTTCTGTCGAGAGAAGAATGTCAGGATGAGATGGCGGTGCGCCTGAAGGCTCTTGAAACCAAACTAGAAGAGGTGAGTGTGGAATTGCAGAAGCAGAAAGGCGCTTTGTAATGGCTTAACATTCCTGCATCGTGTCTGTGAAATACATCATTTTAATTAACCCTTATGCTGTAATCTTATAATTAATTATGAATTACACTTAAAACAACATTTTCGGCGTTTGTGAGACAATTATGAACAATTTGAAATTATTTCTTGGCGGATGGCAGCACTGTGCAGACCAACATGAATTATTTTATATATATTTCTTAGAGAAAAGTCGAATAGTGCAGCAATAAAACTGTTCCATTTTGTAAGCGCTAAGATATCTCAGTGAGATTTGTGACTGGTCGGTGTTCAGTTCCCAGTAGGAAGGACGATTGTCCTCATTACCAGCTGTGGGACTGCCCGAGCCTCCCGTTCAGTGGTTCCTAACAAGAAATCGATTCACGATGCTTGACCACTCATTTTAAGTTAACCGCTTGTTTGAGGATTTCAACCTGTAACTGTCTGACAAATTTTGTGCTGAAATAATTTTACCCTGCATACCGTTGAGATAATTAATATTATTCATACACTTGAAACACTAAATGCTTTTTCCGTTAATTTATATCTTCTTGACGCACCAAAATCATCTATATTATTACAATTTGGGCAATTTTCACCGACAACTTTTCAGCCAGAATCAGCTGGAAGTCTAGCCTCTCACTCGATCGCTTTATCGCTCTCTCTCTCTTTGTTTGCTTTCCAGCTCCATTGATCGATCCCACCCACCCAGACTCTACTACTCCCTGGTTTGCTCATTCTCTCAAGCTCACTCCTGCATTTCTCACTCGATCCCTCGCTCATTGCCGAGCTCATTTGCTCCATGACTTACTAATTTCCCCTCACTATCACACCTTCAATCCATCAGTCTCTCACTCACACACTCGATGGCTTCCTGACACCTATGATCTCTCCCTCCCTCCGTCCTTCCTTCACTCGCGCACTCACCCATTTTCACTAATCCACTCACCAAATCCCTCAATCGCTCACTCCCTCGGCCATCGATAACTCGATACTTTGTTCCCTCGCCCATTCACAACCTCACCTCTTCTTTCACTCGGTTACACTCTCCCTCACCGTCTCATTCACCCAATCACTCTGTTACTACTGCCTCACTCCCCCACATTCGTCCTTCGTTCTTGCCATCCCCCCGCGAGCTTTCCAACTTCCTCGATCCTTCGCTCCTTTACCCGAGACCTCCACAACTCTTTCCACCGCTCAATCAATCAGTCACTCACCCACTGTACCACCTGCACATTCCGATCCTTCTCACTCATTCCCCACTTATTCAGTAACAAACTAATTCATAAACTGAAGCCCTGAATCAGTCACTTACTCACCCAAACAATTCCTCATTCCTCACTCGCTATTCACTTAGTTCCCTATATCGCTTACTCACTCCCACTCTGCCTCCTTCCTGGTCTCAGCCTCCACAGCTTCTGCCGGGAACGGTCTCTGTAGGGCCCGGCACCTATTGGATACGGTACAACCCCGGTAACTGTCGGTCCAGTCCAATCCGAAGCTGGTCTCCAACGAATCCTGTCTGCATTAGGCCTGGTGTCTACTGGTCCCGGTCTCTGCCGGGTATGGTGTACCAAAAGTAGGTTTTGCCACACCTGGTCTCTGCGAGGGCCGCTTCTGTTCGGGGCCTCTCTCGGCAGGGGTCGGTCTCCGCCGGGCCAGTCTTTGCAGCGCACGGTCTCTGCATGACATGGGCTATGCCTGGGATGCCGAAAGCGCAGCCCAGTTTACGACAGCCCTGCTACCGACCGGACGACATCCCTACTGAACCTGATTTTGACGTATTTGCTGGACACGATCGTTATTGCACCTGGTCCCTTCTTTACCGGCCTGTTCTCACCAAGGTAAATGTAGGAAAATGTCCAAAAAGCACACAAAACTAAAAAGATTTGAAATATTTCGACTACAAAATTTTTTCAAAAAAAATCGAAATTTTTGATTTTGTGCACTTTTCAGACAATTTCCAGCATTTTTTGATCTTTTGAAAAATTTGTAAATTTTCAAAATTTTACAAAACTCTCGGCCTCTATCTCATCCGGTTGGTGACTGCCTCGGCATCTGCAGCAACCGGCCTCAGCAGGACTCGGTGTGTGACTGACCTTGTCTCTGCCCGTCTCGGCCTTACGTGGCGTCCGCCGCACGTGGGTTTCTCAGAGTCGGCATTGTCAGAGACCGTGTGAACCACAGAAACCGTTCGTCAGAGACTACGTCAGAAACAGTCCAACAGAGACCGGTTCTGCAAGGCATCAGGTGGAAAGAATTTTCAAAATTTTCGGAAAACCAAAAAATACTGGAAATTGTCTGAAAAGCGCACAAAACCAAAAAAGTTTGTATTAAGTGTTGATTGCTGCATGTGCCAAAATGAAGTCTGACGAAGGTAAGTTCGTGTTCTTAAGTACGGTTACCGGGGGACTTGGTCATTGGGTGTGTTATAGATGCTCGTGAAGTACAACCTGGTGGCAGAGAGGCTGTGTAGTGGGGACATATGCAATAATCGTTTAATAGTGTTTCGTGCTAAGTTCATTGAGCTGTAGTTTACGAAATACCACCTGTTTTCATAAATGATGGAAGATATTTAGGTTATGGAAATGTTTGGTAGTTGGTGTCTTATAGGTGATGTTGGTCTGACTTTTCAAATGACGCAGCTGGCGAGTCGTCTCCGACCTTCCGCAAATTTAGTTGTAAGAAATTATCGAGCAGGGATAATGTCGCTGCTGAATTTGCGTGATGTCTTGACTGCCAACATGAAATGTGACGAGGATAAGTTCTTGTTGGAAAGGACGTGTACGATTTCACTGGGTGATTTATAGGTAGACCTGCAGGTATTCAAGATTTGTTTCTGGTATCGATCTGAGCAGGGTGTCAGGTTGCTCGGTGCAGTAACAATCCGGTGACAGAGAGGTTGTGTGATAAATGTGCGCTAGGATGTAGGCGATCTAGTGGCGAATTGTGGGTTACTTGTTTCATAGTGCTTCGTGCTAAGTTGATTGAGCTGTAGTTTATTGGGTGTGGTTGGATTCATAAATTATTTTAAGATTTTATAGGTTATGGAAGTGTTTGGTAGTTGGTTTCTTATAGGCGAAGTTGGTAGGCTCGTTTCACCTTCATTTTTTTCTTTAGTTCCTTCCAATTTTAAGTGAGAAGATGTCACTACGATCTGTGGAGTGGTATTTCAGCCAGCATTTCAATCGGCAGTGCAGTGGAGTGTGCGAGTTGGGACATCAACTTCATCCATTTTGACGTTAGATGGTAGAAGAGTTCGTCAGGGTGGGCATGTAACGATCATCGAATATCGCTAGTTCAGCGGTGACGCGATGTGTTCGCTGTTTTTTTAGATGTTGCCGTCCCTGCGTATGAGGAAAATGGCGATTTCTGCGGTTGGCGTGATCGTGGGATGCATTCTGAGTCTAGTGCAGATTTACTCACACACACACACACACATATATATATATATATATTTTGAGAAGTCGTCCAAGTTAATTTGATGTTATTTGAATTGA